TGAAGACTCTGTCATTAGCAACATTAGACATCATCCATGTCTCATAATTGCAATTGAAAAACTCTGAATGGCTTTCACTTGGCACCACTTTGCTCCACACTCTTTTCGCTATATCACAGTCCCTCAAGTAGTGGAGGTCGCCCTCACACTCCAGGCAAGAATCATCATCGGTGAGGTGTCTGTATTTGCGAATAGCATTAGTGGTTAATTTTCCTTTCATTTCCATCCAAATGAACATTCACACCCGCTCAGGCACCTGCAGCCTCCAAACCTTTTGCCAAATGGTTTGCTGATCTGAAATATGAGGAACAAGGGCCCTGTAAGCAGAGCTAGCTGTGAACTTCCCTGTTGAAGTTAAATTCCAGATTGGGCGATCATCTTCTGCAGCCAGAGGATCCACCATCACAGCTCTGATTTTAGTGATGATGCTCGATGGCAGCACAGACTCGAACTCCTCCACTTTCCACCCCTGATCTGCATCCCAGTATTCCGCCACCCTGCTGTGCAGTTTGTCCGCGTCAATCTCCGTTACAGCAAGCTCTGCTAGTGGAACCTGCAAAACCCAGGATCCATCCAAAAATTAGCTCTTCTACCATTAGAGATATTAAACACATATTCTTTCTTGATCACATCTAAGACAGAGGCAAAGCTACGCCAAGCAAAAGAACTTCCCTTTACTTTGTTGAGGATTTCCAAACCGTCCCTCGAGCGGGCATACTTGTTCTTTATCACTTCTGTCCATAGAGTGTGATCATCAGTAACTAGTCTCCAGCTGCCTTTTGCCAGCATAGCTTGATTGGTAGCACGAGTTGGCCTGATTCCTGCTCCACCCTGGCTGCGAGGTAGAGTTAGTTGATCCCAAGCTATAGGGTGGAATTTAGTTCGACCCTCTTCTTCACCCCACACAAACTGTCGATTAATCCTGTCCATCAAATTGCAAACAGACACCGGCAGTGATTCTGAAAACATTGGGTAAATGGCCATAGATGTTGAGATTGATCTCACCAAGGTAACTCGAGCTGCCAAAGAGAGATGACGTGTTTTCCATAGAGCAAGCTTCTTTTGAATTTTTAGGCAGATTTCCTTGTACCTTGCTCTCGTAACCCGCCCATTACTCACATTTATGCCCAAATACTTACCCAAGTCACTGGTTAAAGGTATGCATGCTCTATCACTGAGTTGATGAGCTCTTTGACGGCTAATATTGGCTGACACCACCATGGCAGATTTTGAAAGGTTTACTTTTTGGCCCGAGCTCGCACAAAAATCATCGAGACATCTTCTAATGACATCAATCTGGTTGTGTTCGGCTTCCGCAAAGAGGATTAGGTCGTCTGCAAAAAATAGATGAGACAGTTTAGGTCCATTTGGGGAGAGAGAGATAGGCTTCCAACGTTTATTATTGACTTCTTGCTCAATACGATGAGCCAATCTCTCCATACACAAAACAAAAAGGTAAGGGGAAAGAGGGTCTCCCTGTCTTACTCCCCTGGAGGGAGTGATGGAATCCTTCTGTTGCCCGTTCCAATTGATCCTCATGCTATTGTGCTCGACACAATACATGATTCTGCCAATCCAGGTGCTTGTAAGACCAATCTCAATCAGAGTGTCTCGGAGGAAATCCCACCGCAGCCTGTCGTAGGCTTTTTCCAGATCCACTTTAATAATGATCCCACCCTTTTTTCCTTGCTTCTTCCGAAGGGTATGCAGAACTTCTTGCAAAATGATAATGTTATCATTTGTCTGCCGTCCAGGAATGAAGCCACTCTGCGTTGGAGCTATTAGCTTTCTCATAAGAGGCTTTAATCGATTGGTAATGGCCTTGGTAATCGCTTTTAAGCCCACATTATTCAAACAAATAGGGCGAAGCTGAGCAGGTGACTCTGGCTGGTCCGTCTTGGGAATGAGCACAATGGTGGACTCTAGCATTTCGGGAGGAAGAACACCTGTCTCAAAGAAAGTAGTCGCCATGTTAGTTAGACTTCTTCCCACTGATCCCCAGAGTTTCTGATAGAAAATCGCTTGAAAACCATCTGGCCCAGGCGCCGAGAAAGGTTTCATGCCGAATACTGCATTGTGGATGTCGGACATGTTAAAGGGGCGCAGCAAGGTAAGAAGTTCCTCTTGACACAATCTGGGGAACTTGTTCTTCGGCATCAGATCTTGATATTGTGGCTCATCTTGAGTGTATAGAGTGTTAAAGAAGTTCACCACCAGATCCAAAAGTTTAACTGGATCATCAATCCAAACCCCATTCGTGTCCCGCAAGGAGAGAATTTTATTTCTTCTACGTCGAATGGTAGTTTGTTGATGAAAGTATGAAGTGTTCTGCTCACCGAGCTTCACCCATTTCTCTTTGGCCCTTCGATACCAAATAACTTCTTCCTGGGCAAGGAGAGAATCAAGCTCCGACTCCAGCTTAGCTTGAAGTTTGACAAGCCCCCTGTTGAAATGCTCAGCTAGTCTACTTTGAACTCCATGAAGCATGGAAAGAAGCCTTCTCTTTCGGTGACGAAGAATACCGAATACCGTATTGTTGGGACAGGTTACGGTGAATACTACAAAAGTAGTAATCATCGTGGTTACTAAGGGTAAATTGGGTATGAAAAATAAATTATATTAATTAATTTTTTTAATAAATTACATTACATTTTAGGTAGTTACAAAAATCTATTAATTACAATTCTCTCTCTTTCTCTCACTTCCATAATCTCCAGTCAGATCTCATTTCCTTATTTTTCTCAATTTTTCTGCAAAAGAAAAAGAACACGAAATCACTACCAATCCATTAGACAACCACTACTATTGCAAAAAATATCAATACCATTGCATAAATAAATCTATACCATTACACGAAACTACCAATATAAACAATCTACCAATATAAATCTATACCATTTCACAAAAAATAAATACCATTGCAGATTTAATTAATACCAATCCGCAAGACAACCACTACCATTTCGGAAACCGTCAATACCATTACACTAAAAATACCAATATAAACAATCTATATCATTACAAAAGTCAAAATAATACCATTGCAGAAATAAATCAATACTATTAAGAAAAATAAAACTACCATTTCATAAAACGAAACAAATAAACCAGTACCAATAAAGTAAACTCATATCTAGAGCCTCTCCTAGAGAGAGTAAACTCATACCACTGCACATTGAATCAATTCAATACCATTGTAGGACTACCATTACACAAAGGATAAAACAATACCAAACCAAATAGTAGTGTACTACCAAAAGAAAAGGCGATTTTCTTTAACGAATGTCATTACCAATACCATTGCTTAGTAAAGCAATACCATTATGCAAATAAAAAAATTGCAGCTAGTGGAGGAACACGATTACAATTTACAAACCAATAACAAATACTAATTAAAAATCCCATTCGTATAATAGTACCATTACCAATACTACTACACATTGAGTCCAACTACTACTCCAGCGTCGCCGCCGTGATTATCATCCGAGGGAAACTCATTTAAGCTGCGGCCATAGCGTCCGTCGCAAACGCTGAGAGACTAGAACAGCCATAAATAGAATAAGAGAAAGCGGAAGTCACTGGGGAAAAGGTTGAGAAAGAAGAGAATAAGAAGAAGTTCGGCCATCGACGTCGTCTGTACTCAGATCTGATTGGGGGGCGGTGACGCAGAGGGGAGGGTGAGGAAGGAAGATGGGTGGGAAAGGAGGAGGAGGCGGCGGCGGCAGAGTCGGAGTAGGGCACAGCAACAGCGGCAACAGTCGTCGTCGCTTGCACAGAGTCATCGTCGTCGGGGCTGGTGTAGGCGGTCGGCGGGATTAGTCGTTAGTGCGACGGGAGTGGTGGAGGCGGTGGGTTTGGCTAGAGGGAGGGTAGAACTAGGGTTTGGGTAGATTATATAGAATAATCGGATGGGTCACTTTTTCATTTCCAAAATTACCCTCAAATAATCTTGACCGTAAGATTAAAAAAGAAAGGAAAATAGGAAATCAAACGGTATATAAAGAGGTTGCCACCGTGATTACTAAAAAACAAGTAACCACCCTAACTCATCCCCCGTATTGTTCCAGTGTTGCAGTTTGGGGGCAATGTCCTTAAGTGCCTGCTGAAGATCCAGGTCACTTTTCCATGTTCCTGCAAAAAAGTCCATTAACTGATCATGTAAAAGCCAAGCTGCTTCAAACCGAAAGGGCTTATTATTGCTATTGGAAAGAGGGATAGGAGAATTGGAGGTGAGCACCGGGAGATGATCGGAATGAAGCCTTGGCAGATGTTGCACCGTGCTATTTGGAAAAGCCTGGTTCCAACTGTCATTGCACAGAGACCGGTCAATTCTACTGGCTTTGTAATTACTCTCAGTCACTCCTCTAAACCAAGTATAGCGTGGCCCTGAGAACCCCAAGTCGATCAGATTAGCAGCATCCATCCAATTAGCAAAGCGTTGACATCGCCGAAGAGTAGTAGATGAAATCGAGCCAGTTTTCTCAGATGGAAGTCGGAAGGCGTTGAAATCGCCAGCGACCAGCCAGGGGATGTTGAAACAATCACTCGTTGAACGAAGTCGATCCCAAAGAAGCGAGTGATACTTGTAATTTGGACTCCCATAAACTGCCGTGAGAATCCAATCAGGCATAGAATTGCTGGAGACCCTAACAGTAATATGCTGTCGGCTCGCATCAATGAGTTGAGCTTGAAAAGAATCTGGCTTCCAAGCCAACCAAATCCCTCCTTTCCGACCCTCGGCATCCACCCGAAAAACCTCTGGAAACCCCAACCAGCTGCAGACCGTCGTAGCCCTGTCTCCACTGATTTGGGGCTCAAGAAGAATTAGAAAATGCGGATTATAGGTGTCTACTAAGAACTTGATAGACCTCCTAAACTCCTTACTTCCTGCACCACAAACATTCCAAGCAAGCACTTTAAAGTTTAAGTTAGCAAAAACTGACATTATAAACAAACAAAAAGAAGAGAACGAAACCAATCCAAAAAATCGAAAGCCAAGCTCAATTATTAGCAGTTGGGTCACTGCTAGGCTCTCTGTTCGCCGGCACGGTATTTGTGAGAGTATCTCCCAGACTTTCCACCATATCGACATCGCCCGTTTTTCCTTCCTTGGCCGACGTGAAATCACTTTGCTTTTGTTGCGATTGCGCGATGAAATCTTCGATTGCGCTGATAGTCACCGGAAAAGCTGCCTCCTTCGGTTTATTGGCAAGCTCTCGCTTATTGATAGCCACATGAACAGGCTTCTTAGCTGCTCTGAGGCTGATGCCTCTATTGGAATCCTTTGCGGGAGAATGATTAGCTTGTTTCTTCCTGTAGTGCTGCCTAACAGAGGTATTCGAAGTAACATTAGGGTCCCTGTTTTCTTTCAGATTCGTTGCTAAGGGAGGAACAGAGACCAGGTGTATTGTAGTGTTGTTTTCCCCCACAACCGTTTGGGGTTCTAATTCCATCATTGTAGTCTTATTTCCCTGGCCCATAAGTGTATTCTGATCTGAATTAGACGCAGAGGCTTCGTTGGGCTGGGCCTGATTAATTATACCCTCCCGCTGGCCCACAGCCCGCCACTCCTTTATGGGTTTGCCCGACTGAATCTTTTTATCTGTAGCTTGCCCCTCCACTACTGCAGACTTCCCTTTAGATACCAATACTGATCCCTTCTTGTTCGCCAATTTACCATCCTCCTTCCCTTTAGTTTCCAAAGGAGACGTTGCTCTACTATCCCCTTTTCCTTTTTGAGCTGATTTTGGAAGAACTTTCCCAACTTGGGCTGTCTCCATAAGGGGAAGGTTGTTTCCTCTGTTCGCATCAACGTTTCCGGATTTGGCAGGTTTTCGTGATTTTCTCGTAACGTGCATCCATGGCCCAAATCCATAAGGGGGTTCCGCCGGAGACGATTCCGATGAGATTTGCAGTTGATCGGAGCCCGAGCCGTTGGTGATGGCTAGCACTTGATTAGATTTTGACAATGGACAATTGTCTTCTAAGTGGCCAATTCTGCCACATTGAAAACAAATCTGGGGGATATTCTCATAAAGCACTTGTTGCCAGAATCCATCTAACCTGATACGAGTGGGCAAAGGCTTCGTCATGTCGAGTTCGATTGCTAGTCTGGCAAACTTCCCACGTTCTAGTTTCTCAGTGTGATAATCAAGCTTGACCGTCCTCCCGATCAGGTTTCCCAGGGCGAAGAGAACTTCTCGGTGATAAAAATGAACTGGTAATTCCGGCAATTGAACCCACGCTACTACCCTCCGATGAGGTTTGTCAGAAGTTCGAAAAGCCGGCGACCACTGATGCACCACCAGGTAATGATCGAGTATAACCCAAGGTCCCCCCGTAAGCGCCCTGAGATAGTCTTGATCATTACCAAACGTGACCAAAAAAGTCTCGTTATTTAGGTCCATGATGTCGAGTGAGCCCGATGGTCGCCATTGCCAGCGGAGCTGAGAGCAGAGATAGTTATAGGACATTGATTTACCGAGTAATCGGACAACCAGAGTCTTCTTCCACGGATCACAGAGTCGTTCTTTAAGTTTTGACGATATTTTTAGCTCCGGCTCTCCACCAAAAGATCCCGACACTATGTCATGCTCGCCTACAAAGGTCCATTGATTAGCCTTCGAGACATGAGCTTGATTTGTCGAGGGACCAGCCAAGGCGTTTTTGTACGACAGAGGCGGACTCGCTGAGACAGCAGCCAGCTGGGGTTGAATTTCAGAGGTTAGAATAGCTATATCCGGCGGCCGCCCAGCTTGAGGCAGGGGACTCGCCGGCGAGAGATTTTCAGAGGGAGAAGAAGAGAGCATTTTCAGACTCAGATACGATCACAAATGTCTTGGCCGGTCTCCCCAACTATTAAAATGATTAACTATCCCTTTCCCAACAACTCGAGTAATTGGAACCAAGTGTTTAGTTCGCTAATATGGTATCACAATCTAGAACCGAAAGGTCATGGTTTCGAATCCTCGTGACGACCCCCATTTAATGCCCATTTGTTTAGCACAAGGGATGATATGCCCAACATGTGCAAACTATAGCCTCGTGATTTAGCAGCACGTCGACATCGACTTTCGTTTGAGGAGGCGTGTAAAAAATTAAAACGCTTAACTACTATCCCTTTTCCAATAACTCGAATTATTGGGACCAAGTGGTTAGTTCGCTAACATGAGATAAACCAATGCTATCCTCAATAGTCAATCAGTGCATTAGTACTCACCAAAATTTAACAAGGCAGTATCGAGAGAGATTGACCACTGTACACGGTACAGGTTCGTGCTCTAGCTACTAATCAAAATTCTTTTTCAGGGTAGCTGGATGTTAATACGACCTCTCTTCTCGAAGATATTGATGAAGTGTATTTTGTGAGACCACCAGTTTCTATCATCATTCGGGGGAAAAACCACATATTGGATGATGAATTTGGCAACCAAATCCTAAGCATCAAGGACTTGCCACAAATTCATTATTTTTTAAGAAACACATATCCGTAGGGTCCACGGATTCGTACTCTTTTTTAGATCCAAAATCCGTGGACCCCCACGGATTTGCAAATCTCATATTTCATTTGCGATTTGATGATGGAAGGCAAAGATCTGAGACAAATTCATCATAAACCTAAGATAAAAATTAACTAAACAAACAATGTACTCTTCCAAATCCATAATGCACCAAATTCATCATAAATCCAAATATTTTTAAAACGCAAAACCTTCAATTTCAAATCCAACAAACAAACGAACTCTTAAAATCTTGTTTAAATTAAAACAGGTCAGTAAGTAATATTTATTTGCCAAACTGACCAGTACTCTTAAGTCCATTGACTACGTAGTCAATTACCTTATATTTAATTCTCATTTTAATTTAAAATATAAGATAAATCTCGTAAGCAATTACCCTTTTACAATCCTCCACCTATTAAAATCGCATGATTAATCTGAAGGTCTAGATTAGTTTAAGAATGGTTGGTGAAGGACAGGGACCCATGGCAAGAAGACACGAACCTTCCCCAACTGATTGATTGATTGATTTTTGGGTTTGACAGGGCTCGATGGTTAGGGTTGGTTTGATTTTAGTGATAGTTAAATTGATGCATGGTTGTCGATGCATGCATAATCAAATACATGCATATAAGAAAATTGATGTATAGTAGTTTACATCGTTTGATTTCTATTATAGTTATTCTAGTATTGAAATAAGATATATTGCTTTCTGGGTTAAATGTTACTTTTACCTTTTGTTTTTAATATGAAAAAGCAAAACACATTAATATAGTTGGAAGACGAAAACAGTCCAACAATCTCAAATAAACAAACTCAACAATCTCACAAAAAACTGAAGATATTACTATCACTCATTTTGAGTGATAGTTTCCACCACATCAAACAATGTATAATTTGTACAAAAAATTCAAAAAAAAAAATATTGTGGACAATACATGCATTGTAACTATTCTAACCAAACAATCACTCAAACCAAACAATCATGGGTCATTGTTTAATCTTTTTGTTGAGTCCTCGCCAGTAGTCATTGTTTACTCTGAATAAGCTAGCGCTTATTAGTACCCTGCCCAATGCCTGCGCAGGGCATCCACCTACAGCTGTTGCTCGGCTCTTTCATTTCCCATTTCTCATCCAAGCTAAGTCAACACCCTCGCGGAGTGTATCGATAGACAGATTTGGTTGGTTGGTTCTTCAATCTAGGGTTTGTTCTTCAGGTAATTAGTTCTCTGATTGATTGTTAATATTTTACCACTTGCAATCGCTCGATCGGGGGGAATTCGTTTGTAAACCTCGATCGCTTACTTTGGTCTTTTGTAGATATGGATTTCCCTGCTGGTGATATCTTTTTGTGGACGACGATGAAGCAGATGGTCTGGTCTCACCCTTGGTCCGCGGCGGGAGCAGCACTTCTTATGGCAGTACTGCTTTACTTTCTCAACCGTTCCCAGTCTTCTTCTGCGAAGTCCCCACTTCCAGCCGGAGAGTACGAGGTTTTTCTCAACTTCAGGGGATCCGACGTCCGCTACGATTTCGCGGATTCCCTCCATACATACCTGAAGAAGTATGAGATCCGCACTTTTTTTGACGAGGAAGAGCTGCACAAAGGGGAGGAAATAGACTCGAAACTCCTGGATGCTATCGAGGGATCCAAGATCTACATCCCAATCATTTCTGCAAAGTACGCTTCCAGTAGGTCGCCACTTATGGAGCTAGCTCACATGGTGAAGTGCTGTGAGAAAGAGAAGGGGCACCTCATCCTTCCCATATTCTATAAGGTGGAGGTTGGTGACGTGAAGAATCAACGGGGTACTTTCGGGGAATCCTTCAGGGAGCTCGCCCAGAAACATGATGCTAGAACAATAAGGGAATGGAAGAATGCTCTCCGAACGGTCACGGAATTAAAGGGATGGACGGTTACTCCGACAACTAGGTAATTAACTGCTATTCTATGGGAGTAGATAGATGTTAATTTTATCGGTATCAATACAAATTCCTAATAAGTAGCAAAAAAATCAAAGGACCCCTTGTCTGACCGGAGGGGCGCTAACACTTTTTTTTTTTTTTTTTACTATACACTTGCTTGATCCAATAGGAACATTTAGTTTGTATAATTTTTTAATTTAAATGAGTTGACCGCCATTGATGAAGATGAAAGGGTGAAGGAGTATACTTAGTATAATGAAAAATTTAGAGAGAGAAAGACCAATGTATGAAGGCATTAAATGGAGAATGGGTGGGGGCAAATCAAACATAGACTACAAGCACAAGACCACAAACATAAGTTTATTAAAATACATCACAAATTTCATGAAGTCTTACTACAGGTTTATTAAAGTACACTACAAGTTTTTTAAAGTATACCACGAATTTATTACAGTAGACCACAAATTTATAAAAGTAGACCGCAAGAGTATACCACAATTTTATTAAAGTAGACCACAAGTTTCTTAAAAAGCAAAATACACCTGTATAGCCATAAGTGTGCACTTTGTGTCAATAATAGTCAAATTTTGAGAAATACACTAAAATAGCCATTCCGTCAATAGCTTTAACGGCAAAATTATAAAAGCTGACTGCACTAACGGTTTGATGACGTGGCAGCTACTGTCCTTCTATTTTAATTCAATTAATAAAAAAATTAAAAAAGCATCATCTCTCCCCCCCACCTTTCACCTTCCTCGTACTCTCTCTTCCTCCTACTCTTTCTGTACCCCTCCATGGACACCACCATCGCAAAAACTTCCCCTGCCCTCTAGCTCTAGGAAATCAAACACCTTCGTCGTGAACCCTCCTTAGCACCACAAAGAGGTATCCTTAGTCTTCGAGCCCAAACCACTGCACAACTCATCGCGGGTGACACATAGTTGGTGAAGTAGGCTCCGGAGATTGGCCCTGCCGTCGGGAGGGAGATGAAAATCGATGGCAGGTTTGGCAGTCGTAAATGGCGAGGTCAAATTTTCAGCGACCGTTACTCCAAACTCAAACCATATTCACAAACGAAGTGATTATGATTGGCTGATTAGGGATTTCTCCACGAAAAGATTAGGGTTCCTAGATTGGGGATTTCAAAATCTACCACCATCAAGACCTTTTGAATGGTCGCCCATCGTCATTGAAGAAGGCAGGCGACAGCGCCGACCTTCCCCCTTCTTCCTCTCGTCATCGGCTTCCTTCGATGTTACTTGCCTCCCTTTGCTCCTTCATGTCAACGAGGAAGTAGCGGACATTGTAGTCCTGTTGCGCCTCCTTCAGCTAAGGCGGAGTAGGGAGAGCAGGTTGGAGAGATTTGCGGATGTATTGGAGGATAGAGGTGAATATCCACGCACTGGAAGATGAAAGGTGTTCGGGGAGAAGAAATTGAAGGAGGAGTGGAGGTGCCGATGCCGATTTCGAGCCATGGTCAGGCTCAGACGATGCGAGCGATGACGCCGGTGGTAGCTGAGGCGGACGACATGACACGACGGGGATGCATCGTAGATCTGGCTAGAGATGGAGCGGATCAGGTCAGTAACCCTTATGGTGAGTAACCATCAGTAACTTGTCCACATCCGCATGACATCAGTATCCCATCTCTCCTGGAAAGTCTTTTATTTTTTCCCTTTTAATCTTTAACGGAAAATTTCTCTCTCGTTTTAAGTCGAAATTTAAATTTTTTTGCACAGATAAATCAGATTAAATGCTCTCTCTAAAATGATATGCACTTTTATATATTTTTAGTAAAAAAAAAGTGAATAATTTTTTACCAGTCATTACCATATGGTATGCTCATATTTAATACCCTATGGTAAGAAAGCGTACCATCATAATATGAACATACCAATATGGTCAGAAGATTGAATACATGATAGTAGGAGTATACTAACTGTCATTTACGACTTTCATCATTGTTTATCACAAGTTACCACCAACATACCATAGTGGTCAAGTATGGTAATTTTTTGTCTAGTATTTTTTTCACCCAAAAATTTGTAGATCCAATAGATCATGATGAACTCGTTATTTCTGAGCAAACGTTTTCAGAAACGACTTAAAAACGAAGAAGTTACCAAATGGTATGTAGTTGGTAAAAAAAAAGTTTCTCGAAATATATTGAAAATTGATCTCATTTTGTAGAGCACAACGAACTCGTTCCATGTGTGCAAAAAAAAATTGAAATCCGAGGTAAAACGAAAAAGATAAGACCCGATTATGAAAACTAGGGAAAATAAAATGTCTTTAATTGACAACCTTTATATCTGAATTTTCAGGGCCCACTTAGATCTAAAAGTCCAGATTTAGTTACTCATAGGTCAGTAATCAATGGTTACTGACCCTATCCTAAGCTGGCTGGAGATATGAGAGAGAGGGAGAAGAAAGGAAGAGGAAGGGAAACGAATAAGAGATTTTCGTATTCATTTGGAAAGAAAAAAGTTAATTATTTTTTATTTTCTGATGTGGTAATCACATGAGGATGTGGCGCTGATGTGGCATCAAAGCCAAACTTGCAGTTAACACTTTTAACAGTGTTATTGACGGTGGTAACGTATTTAATGAAAATGGCTAAATTTGGCAATTTAATTTTAAAAGTGTGGCTATATTAGTGTATTTTTCAAAACTTGGCTATTATGGTCATTAAGTGGATAGTTATGACTATAAAAGTGTATTTTACCTTTCTTAAACATACCACATGTTTATTAATAGTGGACCGATTTGTAAATTTTCAAAAGTTTAGGTATCAAAATGCAAAAGAGAAAATTTTTAGGAACTAAAATATAATTTTCCATCAATATTTTTAAGAATTATATGTAAAAATAAAAGAAATTAAAAAAATAAAAGAAAAATAGCATCGTCGCTGACTGTCCTCTTCGTTTTCCTGAAAAAACTGTTCGGTAGGGGCAGATTTTCCCGATACCATCCGATGAAATATATAATTAGAATAAAGTATAAATTTAAAATAGGTTTAACCCGGTTCAACATACTCTGATTTAGTGGTGATTATTATCAAGTGTCCACATTTCACACTGGAAATCCAGCGGTTAAAAGGTTGGCGGCACTACGACACTATAGAATCCGCCAACAAGTATTAACATAGTGTTGAGTGCTGACACTTAAAAATTTAGCACCATATTTCCTCCCAATAATTATGTGGGTTTTGGTCTTGCAATCTCAAAGAAAGAACATACTGCTGAAGTCACCGAATTCCCAACAACATGTCAGAAAGCCTTAAAAAATTTTCCCGTAAACCCATCGGATCCCGGGGCTTGTTTTGACCCCATGGAAAACACGTGTTTCCGGACTTTACTGGATAGGACTTCGGCCGTCAAGGCAACATTTATTGCCGGTGTAATACTATGATAAATGGGGAGATTGTCTACCCGCTCAACCATATTAGGGATCTGATTTTCGGAGGTGAAGAGCAATTGGTAAAACAAATCCTCTCTTTCCCAGGAAAGCGCTAAAAATTTTTTGTTGATGATATCATAGATTGAAACAAGTAGTAAAAGAGTACATGGGTTGTTGCAAAAGTGAAAAAAATAATTGTGTAAGAATTCATTCTTCTTACCTATATTTAGGGGTGTACATGGGTCGGGTGGTTTGGGTTTGGTCATACACCCAACCCATATACTACGGTTTTGAAAATTTTAAATCCAACGCAACCCAAAAAATTTAAAACCCTACGGTTTGTTTGTAATTGGGTTGGGTCGGGTTGGAGATATTTTTAATTAAACATCCAACCCAATACAAAAAGCAACTATTATACACTACAAAAATATTAATTCACTAATTAAGATTTTAAACAAATAAATTGAGGCAAAAATTTTCAATATGCATAAATATTGTTTGGATTTTAATGAAATGCAATTTACTTCAGCATATGTTTAGTTTTTTCATAAATATTTGTCGAAGTAAGCTAAAGTAGTTATAAGCTAACACATTCATAATATGTTGTTCTTCTAAAATTGTACACACAAGAAAAAAAGATTTCGTGAATCATAACTTATATTAAATCTACGTCTAAATATTAAGTTGAAGAATGTATTACACTAGAGAAACCACAAGAGAAAAATATGATAAAATAGCTTAATTTTCTCACAAATATGTTTATTATTGACACAAATATGTGTTGTATACGAACATTTATGACAATAGTTCAACACGGGTTGGGTCGGGTTCTACGGGTTGCGTTACCCAAAATCCGGACCCAATCCAATAAAGGCGGGTTGTACAAAAGAAAACCCTCACCCAACTTTAAACTTTAATTTTGACGATAAATACGGGTGGGTTGGGTCGGGTTGGACGGGTGGGTCGGGTTGCGGTTTATTTTGTTCACCTCTACCTATATTAAGAGTCTATTTGAACACTATGCGCCTCTCTTTTCAAACGTAAGCATATTATAACCAAAATTTTCAACTAGGTAATTGAAAACTGTTGCTCACACGCACTAGTTATTAACTCGGTGCAATTATACTCTACTACCCCCAGTTAGGTCAAGTATAATTAATTGGGCGAAGTAATATATTGTTTGTAACCGATTTATTTGTTCGTATTGAGTTTTATATCTTTAGTTAGCTCTCTTTCAATCGAGTTCAAATAGAAAAATCATGGAGATATCTCTCAACCTTAGTAACCATCATTAAACATATTTTGTTGTTGTGGTGGTGTTGAAATCGACTTCTTTGTTCACATTTAATTTTGCATTATTACTCATTTCTTTATCGCTCTCAATTAAAAAGGTGAATGTGCCATCAAAACCAGCAAAACCAGATACTACCTTCTTTCATCTTTTTTTCCTCTTTGTTTTTTCCATTTCAAACACAAAAACTTAATAATTCTCTAATTAACCGTCCTCGAGCTCCAAACTTGTAGATCGTCATCACCTAATTCATAACCTCATTAGCAAGCGAATGCAATTGTGCTATGAACCTCTCCATGACATCTTAATGATTTTCTTGTTGTTCTTAAAGTTATATTATATGAGTTACATTTTACTAATTATTTCATACAACATATTTACAATACTATCTCTCACTCGCCTTGAAGCACATGCGATCGAGCATACAATATCAAGTCAATCATAAAAATACGGTCTCTTATTATATAGGCAGCCTGAACTATATGTCTTGATGGTCTTTGGTTCTTTAATTCATAGTTACTTCATTGTCTATGGATCGATTTATGGATGTATTTGTATTGAAATTGTCTTCCATTTCCAGGCAGGGAGTTACTATTGATGAAGTATTTTTAAAGGCGAGGAAACATCTGATGGAGAATTACAGGCAAGTGACGAATCAGTTGGTTGGAATCGATTCCCACATTGAGAAAGTGAAGGAGCTTCTAAATAGAGAAGTGCAAACTGTTGGCATTCAAGGTATGAGCGGTATTGGTAAGACCAATATAGCCAAAGCCGTTTATGACTCTGTTAGTGCACATTTTGATCGATGTTGCTTTGTGGAAGACGTGCGAAACATATTGTCAAATGGTGGCCGCATTGAAACTCTACAAAGCAAGATTATATCTGACATTTTAGGGTATGACACCAAGGTGAGAGATCCCAGTCAAGGAATCCAATTTATCAAAGACAGAGTTTGTCGTAGGAAACGCATTCTCATCGTTCTTGATAATATAGATAGGTCGTTCGAGTTGGACACAACCTTGGGAGATTTAGCAAATTTTCACCCAGAGAGTCGCTTTATTGTTACAACAGTGGATGAGGAAATTCTTAAGTTCTTTCCAAAATGCGAGTCGTACAAGCCAGATTTAATGAATGATGACATTGCCCTTCAACTCTTTAGTAGGCATGCCTTTGGGAGTGATTATCCCCCCACAGGGTACATGGATCTATCTCAGGACTTCGTAGAAGTTGCAGCAGGTCTTCCTTTGGCTATCAAGGCCATAGGTTCAGTAGTTTTCCGCAAAGATAAAAAGTTTTGGGTTGCAAAGTTGAAAATGTTTCGGGAGATACCTGATGAACAAGTGCAAAAGAGATTGAAGATTGTCTATGAGGAGTTGTCGCTAGACGAAAAACACATTTTTCTGGACATTGCTTGTTATTTTATTGGTGAACCAACAGATCGGCCGTCCTTCTTGTGGGATGACTCCAATTTACATCCTTTGGTATCAATTGATACCCTTTGTCTCAAGGCATTCATAAAAATAAATGAGAGAAATGAATTATGGATGCATGATCAGTATAAACTCCTTGGTAGAGATATTGTTCGTGAGGAGGACATTGTAAATCCATGGAAGCGCAGCAGGATGTGGTCCAACAAGGATGTGTTGAACATGCTAAGAGATAAACAGGTATTATTTGTCTGCATTTTTCCCATTTACCTTCCTTGACAAATGTATGGATGACACTTCAAAATTCTTGTGCCTTTATTTTAGGCAAAGCATGTCTCTATGGTACTTCACATTTTCTTTCTATAAATGTTTCTATATAAGTGTGTTAGAAAATTCATTAACTATAATAGGCACAATACTACAAGACATATTTCATGTAACTAAAATTCAGATTATGCAAAAGATGAGGCAAATGACTGGTTTCAGAACTTTCAACTTCACATGCTTATTGATCTATAGGTAATATAATTACTTTTGAACTTGAAAGTTCTAATGTCAAATCCTCTAAATATCAGATAAACATAAAAAGTATATCATCCTTATAAAAAAAACTTTATTGGTGGTACCATATGATATTTTCCCACCTACTTTCCGTTTTCCAATTTGTTATTGCTCAAGATAGCATGTAAAAGTATTACTAGTTTTTTGACCCTTGCTTCGCCGCGATAAGAAAGTAAGTGTACTTAAAATTTTCTTTACTTATTTAATGATTAGTTGATATTAAATAATTCACAAAATAGTTTGTGTAAGATACTTTCACAAACCTTGCGTGGTGTATTAATCATTGTGGAATACTTAGCTAATATGTTTATTTAATTGATCCATGAGAAATAATTATCCATTCATAAGCTTTACGGAATGTATAGTAATTTACGCTATTATTATAGAATAGTGTGTGATCTAATAAAAAAATAATGAAAAAAGAAAATTTGATTAAACTATTATGTAAATGTTACTTACCTTATATAACCTCTGTATAATGCAAATTGATAAGATGATAAATATTATAGTCATTAATAAATAAATTTTAGTTAATTGTCATATAGTTAAGTTATGAAAAGTATCACATTTGATAAAATGGTATGTAAAGAATCAACGACCTTAAAAAATCTTTGTGCAATTCGTTCAAACTTATATTATGAAAAACACATTAAGACTTAGGTAATATGTGGGGTTGGTCTATCGATAATGTAGGGTTGAAACATCGACCAAACCTTAGGTTCGAATCTTGAGGCAAACGGCCAAGAAAAAAAAAATTTGCTTAATTGATACATAAGAAATACCCTACATAAGTTTTACATAATATTTTAATTAAATATGAAAGACTTAAGAAATGTATTTTTTAATTAATATAAGAAATAACTAACTCCATAAGTTTTATATAATAGATTTGTAATTAATCTAGAACAATTACTCCTTTCTTTCTCTTCTTTCTCCTTTATTTACAGGGCCTTCTTGAATCGACTCAGAACTTCTGAAATTATAACAACTCTTTTTTTTCTTAGTATGTGGTCTAAACAATAAAATCAAACTATAGAAAATATTATATTTGATTAAACTATTATAAAAAAGTTAACATACCTTATGGAATATTTTCGCAATGTAAATTGATGATAGGGTGAATATTGTAGTTGATATCAAATAAATTAAGTTATACAAAGTATCACATTTGATTACACTATTCTACAAAATTAATTGACCTTACGAAAATTTTGTGTAGTGAAAAAAAATGAAATGTTCAAGAATTTAGTTAATGATAAAGATATTTTTTTAAAATGAGATGACATCTGTATATTTTTCAAAAGTTAACTATTATTGTTACAAAGTGCATCCTTATAACTATCAAGTTTATTGGCCAACAAATCATTCTAAACATGAAAATTAACTTGAATTGAATTCACGTTAAATTGGTGGGTAAAGACGAAGTAACTTACCTCCTTGATTTCTTCTTATAAAAGAGACAAAAACAATTAAAGTTTGAGAATGTTCCCTCAACCTTAGCCTAGGGTTCTCGGCTGAAGCCTGGCTAGCCGCCACCCGCCAGGGGTCTCCACAGAAACTAAGTTAGACACAACCACATAATACAATCCCTTAATGAACAGTGATTTCTCTAATTGTTTGGGTTTTGCGAAATTTTTCGTGAGGAACCGTGATTAAGCCTTCGGTAACAGCTTTAATATATTTATTAATAATTAATAATTGGCATGGTTTCATTTTAACAGGGAACTGAAGAGTTGAAAATTCTTAGAGTTTACGTGGATCATGAGGATTTTGAGCTCACAGAGAAGGAGTTTGAGAAACTGTCGGGGTTAAAGTATCTCGATGTGTGCTATGGAAGGCTGTCTGGAGATTTCAAAAACGTTCTTCCGGATCTGCGCTGGCTGCGTCTTTATGGTTGCAGTTCAATCCCTATCGATTTCAATTTGGAGAAATTGGTGATTCTGGATCTGATTGCTTGCCCTGTAAGGGACGACTGGAGAAGCTGGAAGGGAATCGAGGTTATTTAAAAAAAAAAATTCCCTCATTCCTTTCATCCGTGTGATTATCAATTTTGATGGTTATGTGATATCTGTATCGGTGTGTGCTTTCTTGATCCAGGAGGCAGGCACGCTGACTGCTATCAATGTATCGGCCTGCAACAGAATGACAAAAGTCCCGGATTTGTCCGGATGTAAACGTCTAGAACAGATATATTTCAGGCGTTGTCCGAAGATGCGCGGGGAACTTCACATTGGCGATCTGAAGGATCTGAGAGTGCTACATGTTACCGAGACCAACATTACAAAGTTAATAGGTGACATTGGAAGGCTTGAGAATCTGCAGGAGATCAATGTAGATAATTCGCGCTTGAGAGAACTTTCTGCGAGCACTGGTGAAGTGCCAGAACTCCCGACAAGTTTGAAGCGGCTAACCTTCCCATCCCTTAGGGTTCCCAATCTGTTGGAGCTCAAGGACTTGGAGAAGCTATGGTTGAATTGTGATACACTCGAGATTCCTGCGGATATGTGGAAGCTGTCCAAGTTGAAGGATCTGTCGTTGAATCAGGTTGGGTTCGAGAAGCATCCCGTAGGGTTCCCAATTTCCTCCTCGCCCACCCTTCCGCCATCTCTAAATGCGCTATCGATCTCAGGTTATCGGTTTGAACCGTTGGAGAGACTGCCGAGCCTTGCGAATTTGAGTAACTTGATGCGCTTGACTTTGGCGGACATTGAGGCACGCGAGATCGCGGGTCTGGGAGAGCTGAGGATGCTGGAGAGGTTCCACTTATTGGATGCTTCAAATCTAATTGATCTCGATGGCCTCCGACATCTAGAGCTTCTCAAGGATTTGTACGTGAGTGGTTGCCTTGTACTGACAGAACTGCCCAGCTTGTCAAATTTGACCAAGTTGCAGGTGCTCAAAATCAATCATTGTCCGCTTCTCTCTGAAATTCAAGGGCTTGGCAAATTGGAGTCATTGGAAGTATGGGAGATTCAGGGTTGCCCTTTGATTAGGAATCAGCTGTCTGATCTATCTCCTTTGAAGCAGTTGCAGCGGTTACCAACCGGGTCGAATCATGTCACTTCGTCATCCCGTTTCCTTGATTCTCTTCCAGAGGAAGAGTGCGAGATTTTACTGAGCTGTAGTGGTTTTGTCCGCGACAAATTTGGCGCTTTCCTCAATAGTCTCCTGGTTCGTGACAAGATGCGGACCTTTCTTGACGATCCAGAGCTTCACGAGGGGGAGAGAATTGCCCCTTCTTTCGTCAAGGTAATGGCGCAGTCCAGGGTATACATTCCGATCCTTTCACCAGGTTTTGCATCTAGCGCATGGTGTCTTCAGGTGCTAGCTCTGATGGTGGAACGTTACAAGGAAGATAGAAGTCGCATCATACTGCCCATTTTCTATTACAGGAATCCTGACGACTCCCATGAGGGAGCATGGGAACATTTTCGATTGAAATATAGTGATGAATCCATTAGGGCCTGGAAGGATGCTCTCAAACAGGTCGCGGATTTAGCTGGATGGTTGGTGACCGAGTCATATAGGTAAAGCAATTTCTTTGTGTTTTCAATTCATGGACTTGGCTGCATGCATGTGTTTGGTTGATGTGCAATACTGCATGTGAAATCACCTATGTATCTGCCGCTGACATACAAACTTGTGTTTAATTTCCAGGGAGAGAGCAGTGGCAGAAAGAGTTTGCTATATGGTGTGGTCACATTTGGAGGGGAATTTCACGTTAGCGACGGATCAGTTGATTGGAATGGATTCTCACGTAGAACGAGTGATGGAATTGCTCGAATTGGATTTTAATGGTGGCGCCTCTGTCGTTGGCATTCATGGCACGGGTGGTGTCGGTAAGACCACTATTGCCAAGGTCATCTATAACAATGTCTTTCGAACATTCCAGCGTTATTGTTTTTTGGAAGATGTCCGAGAAACCTTATCGTTGAAGAATGATGGCGTTACAACTCTACAGAGTAAGATTATTTATAGCATTCTAAGGGATGATCGCAAGGTTACAACTGCCAGTGAAGGAATCCAGATTATAAAGGATGGGGTATGTCCCCACAAGGTTCTTATTATTCTTGATGATGTGGACGATCAGTTTAAATTTGAGCAAATATTAGGCGAAGTAAGAAATTTTTCTCCCGGAAGTCGATTTATCATCACGGCAAGAGATAAAAGGGTACTAGAGTTGTTACAAGTATCTAAGCTCCATGAAGTTGGAGGGTTGAGTCATGACCATTCACTTCAACTTCTGAGATTACATGCTTTTAGAGTGGATATCCACTGTGAAGATAAGACAACCCTATGTGAGGAGTTTGTAAAAGCTGCAGCGGGGCTTCCTTTGACTCTTGAGGTTATTGGATCGCTTTTGTTTCGTAGAGATAGAAAATTCTGGGAAGCCAAATTGAAAGAACTAGAAGGAATACCTTACAACAAGTTGCAAGAGATATTGAAAATAAGCTATGATGAGTTGAGTGGTAGTGAAACACAAATCCTCCTCGACATTGCTTCTGTTTCTATAGGAAAAAGTAAGGCATTGCCTTTCTATATGTGGAGGGATTGTAATTTTAATCCGGACAGTGGAATTTGTACTTTGATTTTGAGGTCCTTGATAAAGGTGGATGGGGATAACAAATTTTGGATGCATGACCATGTAAGAGAGCTTGGGAGAATGATTATTCGTGAAGGAGATGATCAACATCTTTGGAAGCGTACTAGAATATGGTCCAACGAGGATGCGGTTTGAAGAACACCTCCGATTCGCTTCTCTTCGGGAAAGGCAGGTACAATTTCTGTGCCTTGGCTGCCATTCTGCTCTTGGCATGTTCAAGATGGGTAACGATTTCATGATCTCTTATGTGTACCTGAATTATACTGCTGCATCGTTGCATCTTCATATGTGTAGATAGATGTCTTTAGCTCTTCTTAAATACATGTCGATCTAGATATTTGCTCAGTTTCCCATTGAAGTCCAGCTTGTGTTCAATTTCCAGGCAAGGAGCTATTATAGACGATGTTGTCGCTAAGGTGTGCTCACACTTGGCTAAGAGTTACCCTTTAGTGACAGATAAGTTGGTTGGAATTGATTCGCATGTACAAGTGACAAAGCTGCTGAATTTAGGCTGTGAAGGTGTGAAGATTATTGGTATCTGTGGTATGGGCGGTATCGGTAAAACTACTATTGCCAAAGCTGACTATAATAAGGTTCATGCACAGTTAAATCATTATTATTTTGTGGAAGATGTACGAGAATACTGATGAGACATTATGGCATCGTACATTTGCTGAGTAAGATAATCTCTGACATCTTGAGGACTTATCACAAGGTTAAGGATTCTAGTGAAAGAATCAATAGCATATTAGTCTGGTAAACGTCATCCATAATCGTTTTCCCTTTTCTTTCAAATATTTCTTGGTCTTTGGATTCACTCCTGCATTTTAATTGGTTCTTCGGAGAGAGATGATTGAATTGTTCATACAATCAATCAACTATTCATTTTCTGACGAATCTGCTTATGAGCTTATCTTGCTTTCATTTTTGGTACAGGTTAAAAATGGTAAGAGTTGAGAACCCCAGCATGTTAGTTAAAATGGTAATTACTATTAAGATTATAGGACAGTGTTCTTGCATAATATTCAAGTGTCATCCTAATAGAGTTTTAGATTAAAATGATTGCAGTTAGTGTAAGTAACAGACCAAGAATGCTGATCTTTTGTATAATAGCAAGAATGCTGATTGAAAAAAGCTGTCATTTTTCAGGGAAGCGACCGGTTGGAAGTTCTTCGAGTGGACATGACACCCAACAATACTCTTTGTTGGATTCGTCAAGAGCTCCCCAACTCTGCAGAACACCGAAAGTCGACAGTAATCAAAATTCTTGAGGCTTATAAATATAAGAACCTGTCAGGATTAAGATACCTTGAAGTGCGTTATGGAAGACTGACGGGAGATTTTAATGGAATTCTGCCAAACTTGCGTTGGCTTAGATTGGATGGGTGTTGCCCAATCCCCAGTGATCTTAATCTGAAGAGTTTGGTAGTTCTTGAGATGCATGGTTGCCCGGTGGCAGAGAGGATTGGAGAGGCTGGAGTCGGATTAAGGTTATTATCAAGTTTATGTTTCCTTCCACCATTTTTCACTTCTGTATCATGGTAGTAATTTTTCTGTTGTGCAGTTGTAACTTTTATACACTTCAGTCACTATAATCAACATTCAACTTATTTTGTACAGGCGGCGTGCAAGCTGAAAGCCCTGGATCTATCGACTCCTTTCAAGTTCAGAACAGCTCCTGACTCGTCCCAATGCAGAAGTCTAGAGTACATACATTTCAGAACCTCTGAGTCTATGACTGGGAAATTACGCATTGTTGATAAGTGGTGGAGTTACATGTAGAGTTACGGTTGCAGTTTGTTATTTTCAGCTCCTCGTCACTGTTGACGATTTCAAGAATCTAAAAGTGTTTCGCCTCTCCAAGAGATGGAGGTGCTGCGATTTACAGAATTGCCTGCTGATCTCGACAGGTCACACTCTCTCCAAATCAAGAATGCCCAGATCAGCGGAGGTGCTGCTGTTACCTTGACAGCAGCCTCATTTCTATAGCAGCTTTCCCTCTTCTCTTCGTCCAGGATTCCGTGTCATGAGCTGAAAGACCCGGGATATATCGGAGATGTTGAATTTGTCCATGTCGACGGATGGCTTATAGCTGGTCATTAAAAGCGATGAATGTCGTCGGACAAAAATTTAGCTACGTACGAAATAGATAAAAATGAGATTGTCGAGGTGAAACTAACGTACATTTCAAGAAAGTTCGATTTGTGAAGAATTTGAGCATACAATGGAGAATTATGAGTGTCCAATGCAAAGGTATTAACTGAGTTGTTTGAAAAACAAATATAGACAGCATAAAAGTTTTATTGCATTTGCAGGATGAGATGATAGATGAAATCTAAAACGACTTTAGTTTGTGACCATGAGATAAGAACGAAACCTAAAACGATTTAGTTTTGACGATGAGGTGAAAATGAAACTTAAGCAATGTAAGACCCATTTTGAGTTATAAGAAAATAGCATTCGAAACATACTCATCACGTTAAAGTACTACTTTAATCATTTACTCATAAAGTTAAACATACCAACTGCACACACAATCACAAGCATAAGAGCACATTTGTGATCAGTTGTGTACCCTAATCGAATAGAACCCATGAAAGCCATTAAACACCTTGTCATTCACATCATCCATGAACCACGATCTACCTTTGAATTCCCATATTTTACACCTACTCTCATCACAAACTACGTCGTTGGATCATGTATTAACTTGTATGAGGTGTCCAAATGCAATTATCCATCATCTTTTAAAGAACCAACCCAACCCAACCCAACCAACACTAACAATAACTAATCTATGTCCCCCACCTCCAGCCATCCCACATGTAAGTCTCTGTCAAAACTCTTATATACACATAAGATAACTGACTGACCCTCTCACTCTCAGCCATCTGGGGATTGAAAGATTGAAAGCGAAGTCTCAGTGGGCAAATGGATATACCAACAATGGCAGGAGTGAGTGTGAATGTCAAGAAAATCAATCCCAGTCTCTCTCTCTATAACTTCTACCCCAATAAGCTAGAACAAGAAAAGGCGGGAAAAAGAGAGGATGGGGTTTTCTTAAGAACCCAGCAAAAAAGATTACTTTTTTTACTTCCCACTACCCCATTTCCTTCTGATTCCTGAATATACACTCTCACTCTTTCTCTTTCCTTCACAGTTGCATCATTACACCCTCCACGTTATATGAAGCTTTGGGAGAGAGCTTCTCAGCTATGGAAAGTACCAACCCAGAAGGGCTATTGGAGATCTCCGAAAAGGGTTAATGGTAACTAATGCTTTCCCTCTTTCGTCATTTGGGTTGTTACTATTTTTGCGAAACGAATCCCGCCGTCCTCCTTCAGTTCAGTTCATCTTCTTCCCTTTCGTTACCTGGAGTTTCTTGTTTGTGGCGTTTCAGCTCAATGCGCTCGTCATTTGCGTTTTCTGGGGGGTTTGCTTTAGAAAGTTTGAGCCTTTCATTTTCTCTTCTGTTTGCTCTCACAATAACAATGGAGGGTATGTTGGGTTTCTCGTTTCGGGGACAATTTTCATCTGAAGCTTCTCTAATTCAATAATGGAGTTCGGCTTCCTATAGGGAAAATTTGCTACACTGGACAGAACGCTTGTAATGGATTCCATCGTTCTTAGAGGAGGGGACTGTAAGCCAATGCTAGGAGTCATGGGGCAGGACCGGTTCGTTGATGATGATGGAGCTCCGGAGCTTCTGTTAGGAACACCAAGAAGGAACCAGCAATGCAACCAGGTAGTCAAAAAAGGTCATTTGGGTAATTATTATATTCTCAAGATAGAAAAATTTGTTTTTAGGAGTTTCCACATTTGTGTCAAAAAGTTGCAGTGCTTGTTTCTTTGTAGGCAGAGGGAGAAATCAATTGCAGTGTTCTTCAAGTTCAAATAGGAGAAAGAGAAGCCATGATGATGTTCAAGATCATATTCCATACACCTTACATAAGGCCACATGTCATAGTCCTTACTAAAGAACAAGCTGAAGCACTATGGAAATCCAAACATAAGCTCCCTAAGAACTTCAAGGTAATAGAGCTATATTTATGTGTGTGCAGCTTTCGTTTACTTTGTTCTTCTGCAATTGTTGTCAAGTGATGATTTTTTTTCTTTCTTCACACATGGAGTTCAAGGTTCTGGTCTCGGAAATGGAGTGTGCAGCTCCAGCTGGTTCACTTGTTGTAGAGGAGAACGACTGCCTTCCCTGGGACGCATCTAATGTGGTTGATCAATTACCGGGAAAGAACCCTAGACTATTGAAGGATTTGGAAGACAAGGTTGAAGACCATGGATCCAATGGTTTAAGGAAGCAATCTGTGCCTCCTGCCTTGTCTAGCAAGTCATCTTGTGATGCAAAGTCAGAGGAATTATGTTTAGGTACTACTAGTATTGAACATGGCGGCATAATATGTGTTTCTTCTATCAAAGTGCCTCCTCCATCCAAGATCATATGTTCCCCAAGAATCCCTCAAACTCCAGTTTCTACGAGGTATCCGAATGCAGCAGCATATTTAGGCCTTGGTATTACAGCATTGTTACATGATGATGTTTCATCTACTACTACTGATGAATCTAAGCATTTAAGTCCAGCAGCCATTGCTGTTCCCTCTCATGTTAGAAATGTCGGGAAACCAGTTCACCTCAGTGCCACGTTTGATGTGAACCTACTACCTCAAGATTCATCCCAATCTCATCAGGACTGTACAAACAACGAAACTTCTTCTGAAGCAAAGAAATCACCAATTCCTCCTCCACCACCTCTACCTCAGTTACCGCTGGTTAGAAATTCAGCTTTCAGAACAGTCAAAGCAAAGCCAACCATTAAAGCTGCAACACTCAATGATCCCCCTCTTCCTCCTCCTCTACCTCCTTTGCTTGCTAAGCAGGAAAGCTCACCACCATTCAAACGACAGCCAGACCCTCCTTCTCCACCACCTCCACCACCATCTACTTTACCAAAAGTAACCCTGCCACCACCACCAGTTCCTCCAGTGAAAGGAATACTTACAAACAGGAATGTGCCTCCAGTTCCTGGGCCACCACGAGCAGGGTTGATGCCACGGTCAAGAATTCAAGCTCAACCAAAAAGGTCCAGCCTGAAACCATATCATTGGCTGAAATTGACTAGGGCAACTCAGGGGAGCATATGGGCTGAGGCTCAGAAGTACCCTAATGACACTTCCATGTATGTGTGCTTCTTTACACATTTCTTGTGGCGGAAGTTAACAGTTTCCAAATGCAATTTAGTTTACATTTTTGTTCCTCTTTTGATCATAGGGCTCCTGAATTTGACATGTCAGAACTTGAGATCCTGTTTTCAGCAGCTGCTACTCCGAGTTCTGAGATGAAAGGCATTGGAGCCAAATCAAAGCGGCGTGCCTCTGGACTACGGAAATCTGAGAAAGTTCAACTGGTAGTCTAGTTGGTTCTGCTGGTATTTGTTTTGGTTTCATCCCTTATTTGGTGTGCAGTTCTTTGCTGAAGAATTGATGACTGCATTTATGGATGTTCTGCAGATTGAGCTTAGACGTGCATACAACTGTGAGATCATGCTGACAAAAGTTAAGATTCCTCTCCATGATCTGATGGTAAGATGAGCCTTATCCTAAGCTTAAAGCTAGTTGCCTCTAAAATGTGTGAGGAGTCTCAATATGTTACAATTACAGATACATAATCTATATCATATTACAGTTGAGTGAACCAAATACTACCAATAATGCGCCTTAAATGTTATATTGATGATATTTCATACTGTTTTCGCCCACCATCAACATCTTGCAGAGTTCAATTCTTGCGTTGGATGATTCAGTGTTGGATGTCGATCAAGTCGATAGCCTTGTTAAGTTTTGTCCAACTAAAGAAGAAATGGAATTGCTCAAGGTACTAATGTATAGCTATCTGCCTCACAGCCTCAGCATTTGTTCCTTGTAGTCTGAACGTAGACAATAGACTAAACTTGAGTCTTCCAACAATTCAGGGCTATAAAGGAGACAATGAAAGATTGGGGAAATGTGAAAAGGTGCAAACTTTGAACTTCTCGTTACCATTGATAATAACTCGGGGTGTGTGTTACAGTCTGATCTTATCTCACTCTGTAAGTTCATGATAGTTCTTCTTGGAACTAATGAAAGTGCCGCGGGTGGAGTCCAAGTTAAGGGTGTTTTCATTCAAGTTGCAGTTCTCCCAGCAGGTTTCTGACCTAAGGAGAAACTTGAATGTTGTTAATTCAGCAGCCGAAGAGGCAAGTCAATCCTTTTTATTCTTCTTACTCACTTTTCTGTGTGTTTTAAATAGTTTTTTTCAGTTCCGATTTTTTTTTTTTTTACTTACATAACACCATGAACAATATGTGAATAACACAGATCAGAAGTTCACTGAAGTTAAAAAGGATCATGCAATCTGTCCTCTCCCTTGGAAATGCTGTGAACCAAGGAACTGCAAGGGGTGAGAGTTTCCAAAGTTCTTACATCCATGTCCGCCTAATTGATAGGCCTGGTTCAGCAGGAATGCTGGTAGGGAATGAGGTAGAAACTTCCAACTGATTTTAACATTCGTATTTCGCCAGGTTCTGCTGTTGGCTTTCGATTAGACAGTCTCCTCAAACTCACGGATACTCGATCTAGGGACAACAAGATGACCCTCATGCACTATCTTTGTAAGGTGCGAGTGACTTTTATTAGCTTATTTCAAATGAAAACCCATGGGAGCTTTCCTAGATCATTGCTGATCCCTCACATTTACTTGTTTGGTTTCTAGACATTTGCTGCGAAGATGCCAGAACTCCTTGACTTCTCCAAAGAACTTGTGAGCTTGGAGGCTGCAACGAAAGTGATAGCTCTTTTCTCTTTTTTATTTGTGGAAATATTCAACTGCAACTAGATAGAGCTTTCTGGTTATGGCTGAGCTTGAGTGCCACAAGCTTTCCCTTTGCAGATACAATTGAAATATTTAGCTGAGGAGATGCAAGCCATTAGCAAAGGTCTGGAGAAAGTTCTACAAGAGTTGTCAGCCTCAGAGAAGAATGATGGCACTGTGGCAGAATACTTCTGTAAGGTAATCCTGCATTTCTTTGCGTTTGTTACCACTTACCATTGTTTGTGGATTGCTAAGTACACTTTCAGGTTTGTATCAACATGGTCATTTAGCAGAACCTCTAACTTAACCAACTAATCTGTAACAAAATAGATTGTTCCATCTGATTCGTGGTTTATTTGGCTGAGTTAGCATGCCAATGTCACCAAAACCAAACTGGGTTATCAAGTGGTGATGTGGCGAGCCTATTAATTGGTATGCTAACTCAGCCTAACAAAGTGACTGTTCTGTAATGGATCAGTTAGTTTAGTGACCATTAATGATGAACTAAATGGCTTCCCTACTGAGATTAGGCGTAATTTTTCTTAAATTCATCTCCTTGGCTTCTACATTTCCAGATCATGAGGGAATTCTTGAGCTATGCAGAAAGGGAAGTGAAGTCCTTGGGCTCACTCTATTCGAGTGTCGTAAGTATAATCTTTAATCCCTAATTAATGAGCATTCATGGTGCTATCTTGTCCAGGAATAATCTGTTTCTCCTGACAAATTCTTGAACTTTACCCTTCCCAGGGTAGAAACGTAGATGCATTGGCTCTATATTTCGGCGAAGATCCAGCCCGCTGCCCTTTTGAACAAGGTTTTCGAACATCACTATGCTTACTTAAACATCCTCAGGTTCTTGTAACCCAATTCATGATGTGCTTCATGCATTGTTTCAACCTAAGGGGTCTATTGTTTTTCTGCATTCATTGATTCTGCAGTTGTCTCAACTCTGCTGAATTTCAAGAGGATGTTCGCTCGAGCGCACGAGGAAAACATCAAGCGAATCGAACTCGAGAGGCGCAAGGCAAAGAAGGAAGCTGAAAAGCAAAGAAGCAACCTCATCAATGGTGATTCCAGAAGGGAGCCTGCTGTAGATTTCGTGCAATCTATTAGGAGTAGGTATATAAGATGAATAGACAATCCTTAACAAGGATATAGTGGACATTTCCCCCTAGATACTAATCCTGGTGCAACAAGGAATAACCACATGTTGTAAATTTGTATACGGATCAAAGGTAAAGGGTAGTGGGCCAGCTCGCGAGGCCCAATAGTCTTATCTTTCTTCACTTCTGTATTAATGGGCCGGTCTTACGGTGCCATTTCGAAAGCCCAAAGGGAATAACTACCGGGTATTCTCGTAAATAGTCCATTTCGATGTAACTTCAACGTCATTTGCCATCTCCCCCGGCCATCTGGAAAATTTCACATTTCCCGCCCAATTTCTCGGGTCAAAATATCGAGGCAATAGCTAGGGTTCCGGCATTTCCTCCCCATTTCTCGATCTCCGGCGAATTTCTGTTCAATCAATGCCGGACCTCGGCAATGCGTCCCTCGTTCGCACGCACTGCTCGACTCTGAAGAGTCTCCCTTCTTCTTCTTCTTCTTCTGTTCCTTCTCCATCTCCTTTAGATGGCGAGCTCGAAGGTAGCTATCCGGTCAAAGCTATAGTCAACGGATGCGACTGGAACCTCAACCTCGGGTTGCCGAGCAGGAAGAAGCGATGCAATGGAGGTTTGATTAAGGTGCTGAGGCGGTGCCGTGGCGGAGTGCCGGATCGAGCCAAGAAAGGTTGCGGAGCGAAGTGTTTGGAGGATTATGTGAGCGATTGGGTCCATAAGAAGATGGAATCGGGGGCTTCCAAGTCGAGCTGCTACCTTCCGTTTCTTGGCGGTGGAGAGAGAATGGTGATGAGAATTTCACTTTCCTTTCCTTTTCTCTTCACTTCTCTTCTTGTCTTTTGTTTGGGTTTTGTCTGTTTCGGCGGTTGACTGTTGGAGGAGAAGTGGTTTACAGGGTTTGATGCCTTTTTACGGATCTGGTTCAGGTTGTATGTCGCGTTTGCCGTTTGTGTATCGATCCGGGAGATGAGCTTGCTACCTGCTCTGTGCGGAACTGTTCAGGGGTTTATCACTCACAGTGTGTGAAGGAAACGTTTAAAGTCTCAAATGTGAAGAAATTCAAGTGCCCTCAGCATGTAAGCTTGATTAATGGTGCAAACATCCTTTGATTTGTAAGTCATCAATCTTCTTATCTAGTCGTGTGGTTGAATATTGTCATGGGCAGGAATGCTTTGTATGCAGTCAGAGGTTGCAGTGGAGGTGTGTCCAATGCTTAAATGCTTCACATGACAAGTGTGCACCATGGCCGGATACTGTAATCCATTTGATAAACCGACCAGGAAGCGCAATTTGTTGGAGGCATCCAGATGATTGGAGACTGGATAGGCATCCTAATGACTGGAGACTGGATAAGAAGGTCAACCTCTTCTTTATTACCTTAATGATGGCTTTTCAAAGGTCCTTGTCTCTGGCGAATGATTGTTTTCAGAAAGATAACATATTGTATTTTGATTGCAAACATTGGATGCTTGGAACTTGTTGAATGGTGTATATGATTAGATGAGCTTAACCCTTAAGAGATATCAAGCTCCACCGATGATTGCACATCCTGCTAATATGGTAGATATTTGTGCTTTTTGGTTAGCTTTTAAAGAATTTTCAGTTTCATTTTGCACATCGGTCAACAAAGATGCTTAAAGTTCGTTATCCCATCCTTATAATGTGTACATTTTTCAATCTACTGTTACTTCTCACTGTGATTTAAATCATGGTCCAGAAGCTAGTGATTACTCATTAGCGAAATCCGTGATGTAGAGCTCTTTGTGTGTTTTCTACTCAAAACCACTGTTTCCAGACCAGGAAGTTTTCACTATGTACACTTAGTTCCATGCATCTTTGAAGTATGCATATTTCACAAGTTCACTCAATACAGGCCAAACTGCTTATTATCGTCCACATGGTTCTTTTTCTAGGTTTCAACTGCTTTATCACATGAATGTATAATCAATAAACTCAAACTGAATTCTTGTTAGATTGGAAATCTTGGTCCATGTTTAATGCTACATACAATTTTTTTCCTCCTTTGGTGCCTATCTTATCTCAACAATTGGATGCATCAACAGCGTTGCACGTATGCTTCTATTATCGTGTAGCTTTTATAGTTCAGCAGTGGGCAGACCAGTCATATTTTTCAACTCTATTTATTGATGTAGTGGATGTAGTCAGCATAAAGCTGACTCCAGGAATCCAAATATGGAAACTGATTGAATCGTAAAGTATCACTGCTTTTATTTTAGTGAAGTTGTTGACACGATATTGACAATTCAACATGTCTAAGCTGTCTGTCATCTTTTGTTTTCTTTTGTGCATTTTATATTTCATCCTTATGTTTTATTGATTAGGCTGGCTGACAGGACTCGTATATTTGTAGAATGAGCGGCACATGGTACCTGCCAGTGATATTGAGGTCAGACTTCATGCAGATACAGTTTTCCTTTCTATTACATTGTGAAGTGTATCAATATATTTCGAAGCACGATTCAGAAACGGGAAAGAATAAATTCAAGACTCAGGCAATCAGCTCTAGTCTCACGAATAAAGAGATTATGCTGACTGGTTGTAGGCCTTGTTTCTAGTGTCAAAATTAGCTTATGGAGACTTGGCAATGGTTGTTATAGCATGCTAATATGAGGAAAAACCTTAATGGACCACAACTGGATATGGTTACTTGCTAAGTAAGAGATGGAAACAAAATGTAGTAGCTGTTTCTAAGTAGTTTATACCATTTGGACATCAGAACTCTGTTCTCATTTCTCTCCAGCAGGAAAAAAATTAATGCGGGAGGCCAACAAGAGACATCACTATTTATCCTTGATTCTTATTTGTGACGAACCTTTTGAGTATTTGCTAAAATCTAACATTTGTCATTTATGCTTCGTATCCTTTAGGAGATATTCCTTCGATTGCCCCTGCCATATGTTGAGGAAGAGTTCAAGATTGATTTGACGTGGAAGGGCCTGATGGAGAATAAACTAGAGCCGCCTCCGTATGTGCACATCAGACGCAGTATCCTATGCTTGCTGCCATTTTGAACTGACCTCATATAATTGGTCATTAGTTGCATGTTCTTCTACTATATCAAATCCCCCTTTCCCTTTTATGCCGATTTGGTAGCTATTTTTCCCAGAAGACGTGCCTTAACATTAGCTAGATATTTACATGGTCAAGAAGCAACGTGATGGTGCTGCTGGATATGATAATGGATGCACAAACTGCGGTCCTATATGCTGTGAAAACTGTGTATGCAGGTAGATCAGAGATGACCAATGAACTTCTACCTTGTTTTTACTTATCCAAACTTATTCCCAGCTTTCTGTGTTAAGGTCTGTGGATTATTCTTTAATTTTTGGTTCACTGAAAAATGAGCTTGTTGACATTTTTTTGTCTGCAAAACTTTTTTAAAGGGTTACATCTAACAAGTTGCTAAGCCTTGACCATTTGCATTATTAGTGAAATACACATCTTATGGCTTTGAGAATGCACTTGGTTTTTGGGTAGAAGGCATGGCATATCTTGGTAGCTACTGAAATGTTAGGTGCTGCTGAATCCTATTCAAATAATAGCCATTATCATGTACCCACCATATTGTCCCCTTCGTTTCTTAAGAAACCGGCTGTTCTTCACAACTCAGATTTAAGCATGTTTGGCCTAATTGCCCAAGATTATCTTGTTAGGGCCTCGTGTTTTCTATGCATATTGCATATCAAGATCCATCTGGTGACATATTCGCTTCTTTAGCAAGTTGCAATGTTTGTCCATCTCTTTCAGGGTCCAATGCATAAGTTGCTCCAAATCTTGCCGTTGCTCTGAAAATTGCACCAACCGACCCTTTCGCAAGGATAAAAAGATAAGAATTGTCAAGGTAAGAATTAACTGTATAGTTTTGCAACGACTGTCTGTGGGGAAGAAAGAGGTCAAGGAAGGGAAGGTGCATTGAAATGTAATAAGATGGAGGGAGAAAGAAATCAATTCTTTGGATCTTGCATTTTGCAAAGGGACTTCCTTTATGCTGGTGGTTACTAGTTCCTCAGTGCGGTACATAACTGAACTTTGTTTCCTCCTCAGACAGAGCTTTGTGGTTGGGGGGTTGTGGCAGCTGAATCGATAAACAAAGGTGATTTCGTCATAGAGTACATTGGGGAAGGTATAAACTTACTCGGCCCTAAATTTAGTTACTTAAGTAGTTGATGTTGACACTATTTTCTTCCATGCCAACATGCATATGCTACAACCTATTCAAAAGAATTCTATGGTTATTAAAGTGTTCCATTTCCCATAGATGCCTTCAAATACAGCTTCAATGGTGCATAATGCACACATTTACATGTCTCCCAAACCCTGATCACTTCAATAGCAGTGTTCAGCTAATTCACCACTGTCTTTCTCTTCAGTCATTAGTGATGCACTATGCGAGCAAAGGCTTTGGGACATGAAGTACAGGGGAGTTCAGAACTTCTACATGTGCGAAATACGCAAGAACTTCACGATAGATGCCACCTACAAGGGCAACACATCACGTTTCTTAAACCACAGTTGCGATCCCAACTGCCTACTCGAAAAGTGGTTAGTACCATCTTTCCCCTTTGTTAGCACTACCATTCCAAAGATCCATTTATTTAGTGAAGAACCAAGTACAACACTTTCAATTAACTTAACAATTGTACCGGTTTCACATAGGCAAGTTGAGGGGGAGACACGGGTTGGTATTTTTGCTGCTCGGTCCATCGATGCTGGAGAACCATTGACATATGATTACAGGTACATATGTTTGAACCTGCTGCAGCTATGGTTGAATAGTATAGCAGCATTGCTGAGTTATGGCACTCGTCGTGGTTTCTGTTGGCTTTATTGTAGATTTGTGCAGTTTGGACCAGAAGTGAAGTGCTACTGCGGGGCTTCAAACTGCCAGGGTTTCCTTGGAACCAAAAGAAAGGTGACAACAGAGTTGAATGTAGAGTTGAATATATACTGGGGTGCGAAACGCAGGAGATCATTAGCAGCCATTGTTGCCATTTGAATGTCTGGCTTTGTTTTGCATCAACTGTAAAGAACAGCACAGAGGGAGAGTGAAGGAGAGAAACTACACGACCTCATGATTTTGTTCTGTATGTTTGTTTGTAATACCTAATTCAACATGGGAAAGCAAGGGATTGTAGAAGGGTTGAAGACTTGTAGTAATATTGTCAAATGGTTGTCAAAATTTTCCCCAAATTGGGGACGGTTCAATTGGGAGGAGCATTCTTGTGCCAGAAGAAATAGGTTGGCTTGATCGCTGAAACATAATCCGACTTAAGTAATCGTATTCATGTCTTTTTTGCATGCATGTGACTTTTTCATTCTATATTTTCATATAAGAATGAAACTATGACGTTTTTCTATTTTTGAATAACACGGTTTTTATTTTACATCGATGAATGCTCGGAATGACTGAATCAATATTGCCACATTGTTAGTTAGATTCACTTGATAATTCATACCCTGTCAAGTGGCGCTCCTTCCATGTCACGATTCACCTTACTGCCGCATGGGACCAATCGCAAGATTCCACATGGCAACCAATCACATCCTGCCAGTTGAGCACTCCTCCGCGTCAAACCTCATCGCCAACTCACAGGATGCCACGTGATAACCCCACTCCATGTCACCATCAACCTCACTGCCAAGTGGCACCATTTCTACATAGTGCAGAGTTACTATTTCATCGTGGACACTTGACTAAACGCCCTGACTCGTCAGCTGTATTCCATTCCAAGGAAACAGAGCCAGGAAAAAGGGAAAGTCAAAACGCAGTGGAGTGATTGAAGGGATTTTCCAGCCTGCCGCCTTTGCTCGCCATTGGTGTTCTTTCTATTCTGCTATTTCTGTCTGAATCTTCACTAATATTGGCTTCCCGCAGTGCACGACAGGTCCATTTGCTAGTATATATTATCCATTTGCAGGGTCAAAGATTCAATGAGGGCCAATTACATTAAGGTCATTGAATTTTTGGGTCATCAATATAATAAATTCTGTTATATGATCCTTCATACCTGATTCATACCAATCTCATTACTCGATTTAATGTCCACTTTACGTTATACGAACAATTCCAACATGTTCTTTCTTCTATCTAATAATGAATTATCCGAGAATTTAGCATGAGCCTTAGTATTACGATGTTGCTAGAAAAATGAGGTGATCGATTGAACATATTCAGAAGAAGAACTTGAAATGAATACTACTATACTAGTTATTTCAAATTTCAATAACCATGTTCGTTAAAGATTAAAATTCGACGATCAATTTTTTAGCAGCCCTAACATTTAGAGATCTTTTTAGCTAATTAACCATCATAGTCATAGATTGTGATGTTTACTTGGAAATTTGGTCTCAAGTCTCTAATCTATATTCATAGGTGGGATGACATACTCTTTTGTACTAATATTTTAATGGATTCCTTTGTTTGGGGAGCCAAGCAACCTTGTATTTAATGTTACACATCCCTAACACTCTCTATACTAAGAGTACATAACTTCTAAAAGAGTATCACTCATGGGTACATCAGGAACTCATTTCTTTGCATTTGCAACTCTCCCCCTTCACTTGTTGTGCTTCATGAGCAGCTTCTCCTTCCATCTTGCCGATGCCAATTACCGTCCAAGAACTCAGGCCAACAACGAGACAGACAGACTGGCATTGCTCGAGTTCAGGTCCATGATCTCAAGCGATCCCTTCGGGGTCCTGACCTCGTGGAACGATTCTACTCACTTCTGTCAGTGGCACGGCGTGTCCTGTGATTCCAACACAGGACACGACGGCAGAGCCAGAGTCACGGTTCTGGACCTGCGCCACCAGAAGCTGTTGGGCCCCATCACGCCACACATCGGTTCTTCTGATGATTCAATGTTCATTTTGACCTGTATCGGTTCTTGCTCGCTTGTTATCTGGATTAGAAAGAGAAGGAAGCGAGGTTCGGTTTCTTCTGATGATTCAATGCTGCAACTCTCTTATCTAAGGCTCCACAAGGCCACAAATGGCTTATCCACAGGAAATCTGATTGGTAAGGGAAGTTTTGGTTCTGTGTACAGAGGAGTTTTGATCAGAATGGGAGTACAATTGCTGTTAAGGTATTCAACCTTGATCGTCGTGGAGCTTCCAAGAGTTTCGTGGCAGAATGTGAAGCATTGAAGAACATCAGACACAGAAATCTGGTGAAGATATTGACGGTGTGTTCAGGGGTTGATCGTCAGGGGAATGACTTCAAGGCTCTCGTCTATGAGCTTCTTCCTAATGGGAGTATGGAGGAATGGTTGCACGAAGTGGAAAGTGTTGATGAGCCTCCGAAGAGCTTGAGCTTTCGCCAACGAATGGATGTCGACATTAACGTGGCTTCTGCACTGGATTATCTTCATCATCAATGTGAAACGCCCATTGTTCATTGTGATCTCAAACCCAACAACATTCTTCTTGATGAGGATAAGGTAGGTCATGTCGGCGATTTTGGATTAGCGAGGTTTCTTCGATCATTAGTCGACAATCCTTTAATCACAAGTCTAACATCAAGCACAATTGGCAATAAAGGGAACAATTGGCTATGCTCCTCCAGGTAATTAGTACTCCACTTAGGATGAAATGATGCATTATAAATTATTTCAAGTACTATATGATGGTATTCATTTTTCAACACATGAATAAAATTTTGTGTTAGGTAACACGTGAAAACCATATGCTTGAATTTTGGATCAAACCATTTAAAGTATTGTGATATTGTACTTATCTAAACTATACTACATCTTAAATATGTCCTTTTCCTATATCAATGTTTCTGATCATATGCTCTCTTTTTTTCCGGATCGTAGAATATGGTATGGGAAATGAAGTATCGACGCAAGGTGATGTGTACAGTTTTGGGATCATCCTGCTCGAGATGCTCACTGGAAGGAGGCCAACGGACGAAAATTTCGAAGAAGGTTTAAACCTTCAAACCTTCGTTCAAAGTGCTCTATCTCATATATCGTTCCCGACAGAGGCTATAGATTCCATTCTACTCAATGAACTACTTCTTTGCCAGATATCGAAGGAGATTGTGATTGCGGTTCTCAAAATAGGCGTTGCTTGCACTTCAGAAAGCCCGCAAGAGAGACCAAGTATCAGTCAAGTTTTGGCAAGGCTAAAGAAACCACTTACTTGATTGATGATCCATTAGTCCCACATGCAGTGGCGGAGCTACTTGGAGAGGAGGGGTGTTGCACCTCCTTGGGTTTGGGAAAAAAATTCCCCAGTAGGGGTATATACAAATTCGAACTAGTGATCATTCAATTGCAAGAAGAACTTATTGTCATCTCAAAAGAGTGAGTTTTGATATGCAATGCACTTTCGTCTTTATTTATAGTAATAAATCGTTGTCTTTTGTTTAAATTTGCTCATTTTTTTTATGGTTAATCAAAATTTGCATTGAAGCCCGAGAAAGGCAACTCGCAACTTCCCTCTCAAAAACAACCCTGTTTGTTTACATACTTGAACTATTTCACTTAAGACAACAATATACTTTTATCTACGCAAAACTTTAGTAACTCTCAGCTGGTAGTTGGTATGACCATTGGCAAAAAATAAAAAAACACCTGCAAAGCTCGTTGAGCAATCTGCTAGGGTGAGCTTGATAGTCTTCTGCCATAGAGCCTCGCACAACGTTCCCTCCAGATCGAATTGATGCCAAGGATCCACAAAACCCTCCCAACAGCAGCACTATTAGTGTGAGCTGCCCAAGCTCTCTCTGGCCACTCCAAGTGCAACCTCCAATCTGCAAAAACAGGAACAACACATACTCATTTCTTTTGTAGCTCTACAACATAAGAATTTCTTGTCTTTTGTTTAAATAAAGCTGAAAGTGAAGAAGTACCAATTGAAGTTCACTTGTTTGTTTCACAAAATCAACTCCAATGTATTTATGAGTTCTAATTTGTAATATTTGATGAATGGAAGTCTTGACTTGTATGTACCGAACTTATTTGTTTGACGTTGTAACCGGTGTACGTGAAACTATTTTTATGTAATTGTATTAATTTAGAGTATTGCGTTGTTGACTTTTTGTTTCATTTAGAGTTGACTTTTCTATTATATAAGTGATTTTTTATGATATGATTAAGACACCCCTTAGCCAATTTTCTGGCTCCACCATTACCAACATGCATGCATGCAGCTCTTATTCATGTACGTTATATAGCATGTAATAATAATTTAAAGACTAGTCGACATCATCCTCGATTAGCTGTTAAGAGGTATAACAATTATTTCTTGGTTCATGAACGACTCCTTTATTTTTGTCACGAACCCACTCCATCTATCTTCAATTCTCCCTTCTACTTCTTCAAAGCTACCTGTCATAACTGGGACAGCTCAATTAGTACGATATTGTCCGCTTTGGGCCAAGCCCGCACGATTTTTCTCTTGGGTGTCCTCCCCAAAAGGCCTCGTACTAATGAGCTTGGTGGACACTAATATACAAGGGTTCCTTCCCTTGTATTATCGATGTGGTACTTGGATTGTCCCATAACAATCCTCCCCTCAAGACAAGGACCACGAACATCGTGTCCTCACCTCAGCGATTATCTTGATCCGCTAGACACCTTGTATCGATGGGCTTCTCGGTACAAGGATTTTCCCAGACGCGGAACTCCCTTGATCCGCATAGGCCAAACGTGGTTTTCTCCTAGATCCACCAAACCAGACGCAGATCGCAAATCCTGAGGCCACCAAACGAGGGTCCCCACCGAATTAACGTCCACCGCCCTGGACCCGAACCAGGCTCTGATACCACTTGTCATAACCGGGACAGCTCAATTAGTACGATATTGTCCGCTTTGGGCCAAGCCTGCACGATTTTACTCTTGGGTGTCCTCCCCAAAAGGCCTCGTACTAATGAGCTTGGTGGACACTAATATACAAGGGTTCCTTCCCTTGTATTACCGATGTGGTACTTGGATTGTCTCATAACACTACCATTCTCATGTAGTTTCGCAAGAGATTTGCCATATGTTCTTGTTTGCTAGCTATGGATTAGCTCTAACTTGGATTAAACTGGGAAATGTGAGTTCATCGAATTTCGACAGATTTCGAGCGATTTTTCCGAAATGTCATTTTTCTTTCAATTTTGGAGGCTACAGATCATGGAATCAGGCCGAGGTTATTCTCCACCGATAATGAAGTCTATTGATCTTATTCTCCATGGATGAAAAGTCATTTTTCGACAGATTTCGAGCGATTTTTCCGAAATGTCATTTTTCTTTCAATTTTGGAGGCTACAGATCATGGAATCAGGCCGAGGTTATTCTCCACCGATAATGAAGTCTATTGATCTTATTCTCCATGGATGAAAAGTCCATTAAGCACCGACTTGGGCCAATTTATTTTCGGATGACATTTTCATAATTTTTTGGGCTATGAAAAGCCATTTTCTTATTATTTTTAATGCTACAGATCACGGATTCGACCTGAGGCTATTCTTCAACGATGATTAAGTCTATCAAGCACTAATTTCGGCGGATTTATGTCGTGTCAATTTTTGGCAGATTCCAAAGGGGTATCATCACAGACTTCGGGCGATATTTTTGAAATGCATTTTCTTTCGATTCTCGAGGCTATAGATCACGGAATCTGGGCGATCTATTCTCCACCGATAATGACGTCTATTAATCCTATTCTCCACAGACGATAAGTCCATTGGGCCAATTTATTTTCGGATGACATTTTCGTAATTTTTTGGGCGAGGAAAGGCCCTTTCTTTGGATTTTGAAGGCTACAGATCACGGATTCGGCCTAGAGCTATTCTTCAACGATCATTAAGTTCATTAAGCACCGATTTGGGCGGATTAATTTCGGGTCAATTTTTGACAGATTCAAAAGGGCACCATTACAAATTTCGTGCGATTTTTCTAAAATGCCATTATCTTTCGGTTTTGGAGACTACAGATCACGGAATTACGTCGAGGCTATTCTCCACCTATAATGAAGTCTATTGATCCTGTTGGGGGCACGACTCAGGTCCAAGCGCGCTTACAAAACAATGTAGTTTCGCTCAGAAAGAACCGCCTACAACTCCTACTCGCAGAAAGGAGGCACACATGTTCTTACTCGAGGAAGGACCATACTCTCGGAATGGTCTCTCCGCGAACGAAACCACTCGCGGCGTGGAAGTGCTAACCGACACCGTTTTGCTTGGGCGGGTCAAGATAAAGAGCCAAGAAACGGCACTGTATCCTCTGGACAATGGTCACATCCGAGCTCTAGGCATAATCATAACCTACACTGTAACCTACTTAGCCTAGGTGTCTGACAATTTCAGTAGTCATGTCGCATTTATTACCCACCCACCACAATGTAGCCTATAAATATGGCATTTACTCCGGTGGGTGAGGGGATCAATTTTCTCATTCTCACACTAAGAATCTAAGAACTTTCTCTCTCTACAACTCTCTCCACTCTTTAGCTTTCTGTCAAGTGTTCAAGTAGATCCTTTCGTCCTAAACTCGCACCCCAATTCATTCGTGTCTCACTCCTACACTCAGTTAGACATAAATAGATCCTATTCTCCACAGATGATAAGTCCATTAAGCACCGATTCGGGCCAATTTATTTTCGGATGGCATTTTCGTAATTTTTTGGGTGAGGAAAGGTCACTCTTTGGATTTTGAAGGCTACGGATCACGTATTCGGACTGAGGCTATTCTTCAACGATGATTAAGTCCATTAAGAACCGTTTTGGGCGGATTTATTGCGGGTCAATTTTTGGCAGATTCCAAAGGAGTACCATTACAGATTTAAGGTAATTTTTCCGAAATACAATTTTCTTTCGATTATGGAGGCTACAAATCACGGAATCAGGCCGAGGCTATTCTCCACCGATAGTGAAGTCTATTGATCCTATTCTCCACGAATGATAAGTCCATTAAGCACCGATTTGGGCCAATTTATTTTCGTATGGCATTTTCTTAATTTTTTGGGTCAGTGAAAGGCCATGTTCTTTGGATTTTCAAGGCTACAGATCACGGATTCGGTTTGAGACTATTCTTCAACGATGATTAAGTCCATTAAACACCGATTTTGGCGGATTTATTCCGGGAAAATTTTTGGCAGATTCCAATGGAGTACCGTTACAGATTTTGGTCAATTTTTCTGAAATGCAATTTTCTTTCAATTTTGGAGGCTACAAATCACGAAATAAGGCCGAGCCTATTCTCCACCGATAGTGAAGTCTATTGATCCTATTCTCCACGGATGATAAGTCCATGAAGCACCGATTTGCGCCAATTTATATTCGGATGGCATTTTCATAATTGTTTGGGTGAGGAAATGCCATTATCTTCGGATTTTGAAGGCTACGGATCACGGATTCGGCCTGAGGCTATTCTTCAACGATGAGTAAGTCCATTAAGCATAGATTTGGGCGGATTTATTCCGGGTCAATTTTTGGCAAATTCCAAAGGGGTACCATCACAGATTTCGGGCAATTTTTCAGAAATACCATTTTCTTTCGATTTTGGAGTATACAGATCACAGAATTAAGCCGAGACTATTCTCCATAGATAATGAAGTCTATTGATCCTATTCTCCACGGAGGATAAGTCTATTAAGCACCGATTTGGGCCAATTTATTTTCGAATGACATTTTCATAATTTTTTTGGCGAGAAAATGTCATTCTCTTCGGATTTTGAAGGCTACGGATTACGAATTCGCCATGAGGCTATTCTTCAACGATGATTAAGTCCATTAAGCATAGATTTGTGCGGATTTATTCCGGGTCAATTTTTCGCAGATACCAAAGGGGTACCATCACAGATTTCAGTCAATTTTTCAAAAATGCCATTTTCTTTTGATTCTGGAGGCTACATATCACAGAATCAAGCCGAGGCTATTCTCCACAGATAATGAAGTCTATTGATCCTATTCTGCAATAATGATAAGTCCATTAAGCACCGATTTGGGCCAATTTATTTTTGGACATCATTTTCATAATTTTTTGGGCGAGAGAAGACCATTTTCTTTGGATTTTGAAGGCTACAGATCACGGATTCGACCTGAGTCTATTCTTCGAAGATGATTAAGTTCATTAAGCACCAATTTGGGCAGATTTATTCAGCGACAATTTTTGGCAGATTCCAAAGGGGTACTATCACAGATTTCAGACAATTTTT